GAATCAGTCGCGGATTTTCAAAAATGGTTTTGATCTGATAAAGCTACGCCTCACATTTTATGTGCCCAGTTAAATTTCTGGGTGTTAGTTGAATGACGATTTAACCAAGATGCGAGGTCTGTTGTAACCACAGAGCTGGAACCAGTTGACCACCACCTGAATCCGATTGGATATGTAACTGTTTTGCCATTTACTCATAAAAGTTACGGCCTCTCAAGGCAATGCTTTTCTCTCTTTACCACTCCATCGATGGTCGTTCTGAGAGTCTAATCAGAAACACTTCCTGGCTCCTATCGGTAGGATATTAATGGAAATGTTCTCTGTCTTTCTTCCAGAGACAAAGCATCAACTATTGTCGTCAGTGCTAGCTGCTGCTTTGCTATCCTGGCGAACTTCTCTTGAAATGGTTGATTTTGATCTAGAGTGGTTGTGTTCTGGTGCTCGTCACGCATATGAGCGTTTTTAAGGTAGGCAGTAGGATAAAGAAACGCATAGTAAAAGCGTTTACCGGTGCTCCGGTGATCATAGTGAAGAACTTGCACATGAGTTATTTTGATAGCTCAGTGGTTGAGGTGTGACACCATTGACCGGAAGGGCCAGAACCCAGCTCCGGAATATCGACTGCGTCTAACTAGTCTTAGGCAAACTGTCAGTATCTCAGCCCTCTGGTTTTTTTCGGGTGGCATGTCAACCTGACAGTGAACAAGGTTACAGCGGATGGTTATTTGTTTTCCTTTAGACGTTTTACATCGACGAGGGATTGTCAAGTGAACGGCTTTGCCCACTGACCAAATGGACAACGCATAAAGCGGCCTTCTGACAGAATTTTTTCTATCTCAGAAGGTGGTCTGATGTGTATCTTTGCTGGGCCTAACTAAAGTCACACTGTGGGACAACGAAAGGGGTTCCGTTTGGCATTGATTATTCAACACTAAAATGAGGTGACTGGAGAATATTTGACTTAACTGATTATATCATCGAGGAATGGAATGAAGGCAACTCATTCAGAAGAATACCGGTCGTACTGTTAGCGTCAAAACGAAGAGAGAACGACTGACTCGACAACAAATGGGCGGACTGTCGTCGATTAGATAGGCGGCCATGTTGTAGCGAGTAGCTTATCTCCCAACAGCTGATTAGTAAGAGCGGGATCCACTCTGGATCAAATTTTAGTATTATCTAGTGGACCAATCGGAGACCCGTGAATAAGAATTTTGGATTGAAACTATTTTCAGATCTGTAACAAGCAGAAAAAGTACCGAGGAAAAAGACAGGGCAAACAAATGGAAACAGACTTAATAAAGGAGCGAATTGCGATGAACGGAGAGACCGTGGAGCTTGGAAGTACTATTCGTAAGCAACTTCTGAAAGATCCAACATACTGTATCACCGAAGATGAACAAATTCTTTATGCTGTGTTCGCGCACACACGTGATACTTCATTTCTCCTGGCGGCTAATCTCTTGTACAGTTGATCTCCCATTTAGTTGAACATTTTCCAGCAGGTTCGAGTATACTGTTGGTATGAAACAGGCAGTTGAAAGGCGTTTCGTTTTAAATCAATCTTTGGTCGTGATTTTAACTTGCTTCCTAAAAGCATTCGGAAAATTCATGTTTTAGTCATCATTCTTACCCCAGCCTTGACAGAAGGACAAGTTCAAACCTGTGGCATGATTCTACCACAATTGTCAAAATTATTTAAATTGAGGATATGGTACAATACCAAAAGCTGTTCCACAGTTGTCGCGCATATTGGAAAGTCTGCTGAAATGGGTGTGGATATATTGAGCGCAAACTGCGGAGTGGTTCTAGTAGCCACGCCCATATGACTCATCAGCTAGAGTTTTCTCTTTATTCGAAATGGGGACAGGTTTTGAACTTGGAAACTCACTAATCAATAATCTGGGAAAAATGCGCTTCTTTTTTACCCCTAGTTTCATTCCTCTTTACTAAAAACATCAAAAATTGCGTAAGTATGCGTCGAGAGATTTCCGACCTCTGCCCCTCGACTTCCCCTGTCTAGGCTTGAGCAACCTGGCAGTATCCCAGCTTTCGAGCTTTCTTCTGGCAGCACGGCAACTAGGCACTGGAAGGGTTCTACAGCTGAACGATTTACTTTTTTCAATAATCAAGTGAGGTTGATCACGAGCAATTAAGAAACTATCAAGTAGGTACTTCGTAGTCGGACTGAATGCCGACTTATGTGTCTCGACCCCTCTTTTCAAAGTCAAGCTGCGCTTCGATTTTGATCATCGTCATTCCATTTTTGTACAGCTACACCTGTTGCGTTTCGTCTTGCGAAGGCGGAGGACTGACTAGCCAAAGGGTGGTTTGAAAATTACCGAATAGTGAATGGAGGGTATAATTTGACTGTCTGGTACGGTGGTATCACACCCTGTAAGTAGACAACGCATCGTCAAGCTCGACGGTGGTGCGGAAAAACAATTTGTTGATAAATCATCCCTTGTATGAAAGAGCTAACCAATAACACACAACTGAGGACCACGAAGACGCGATTACGTAAATTGTTCACAACTGCCAGTTATTCCATCACGATCCAATTAGTTCGGTTGCTTCGTGGATGTGGTGCAGGATATTTGATTATCGGTAACTGTCCGTCCAACTTGCGCTTCAAATATCGCCTGGAACTGGAGGTCATCGTACCAAGTCACCTCTCGGAATTGTCCGCTCATACACAGGTTCGATACAGACTACAGGCATAAATAGATGGTCGTATTACTTTTGCTCACGAAATGTCCGAAAGCTAAATTATCAGATTTTAAAAGATGGGAACCCTAGTCAACAACTCGTTGCACCCTACAATATGTGAGAATTCGACATCCCGTGAAACGTCTTCGAAATATGACGGTGAAGTGCTCCTCTAAATTGTATTCACAGTGTTTAGCTAAAACACCAACGTAGTCAAGATGTGAGTCCTATGAAATCAGGCAAATGATAACAGTATAGCTGTCCTCCTCTAGATGGACCTTCGGTCAGAAATGAAAGCTCAGCTTACTCCCGGAAATATATTTCAGCGATAGTTTGCAAAATAGATCATATTCTATCGGTATTTTGAGGTAGTCTTCTCAGCGAGACAGGGGGACAACGCCAGCAATGATAACGCTAATTCTAATAACATTATCGTCGGACAATTTTCGTTGTGAACAGCGCTGTGAAAGTGAATCAAAACACATCAAGTATTGGCAAATACTGAGCAAACAAGACTGCTACCAAGACATACCCCGACGAGATTATCACACAACTGTGCATATTCACGCTCAGATGACCGGCATGCACTCGATCGTTTTATTGTCCGGACTTTTGGTGATGTTTACTACTTTAGTCGTTATTATCATTGTTGTTGGTCTTTGTTACTTCTGCCGACATGGCAAGCACGCACTGTACAGGATAGAATCAAAGATGTCTTTACTACGAGGTCACCTAAGATTAGTAGTGTAGTTTCCTGGTACGTGACTAGAGACCCATTCGTGTTTGTGCTACCACCTCCTAGCTGGACACTCTATCTACATTTAGCCCATCGTTTTAGGTTGAGGTGGTGGAATCTTAATGCACTATAGTGTTCAGATGTGTTTACCCCTTTGTTTTATCAAGGTTTAGGCGCCGTACTCTTGATAGTTTTTCTCAGTAACATGTTTTTCACCCAGAGTTCAAGCTTTTGATTGCCCGTAACTCTTTGCACGGAAATTCGACCCTCAGTGTTGTATGGCGGATAAGCGTCAGCACCTACTACTGATACTGATACTGATATTTCTGTCTGTAGAGGGATATTCCTGAGAGGCCTGATCAGTAGGTCAAAACGAAACACAATCAGCGGTTGTCGGCACATTTTGAAGCTGTGGGCATTATTACATAGAGGTTCACTTTTTTCCGAATGGACAGAATGGTGGCATTTATAATGTTCATTTTTGCTCTTTGGCTTTGTGAAAACCTGATTAATTTTCTGCGTACAAAGTAAAACGTTGGAGTATGGTTTTCACCAAACAAAATTTGCCTGAGAGTGAATTATAGTTATAAAGCGGTTTTGATTCGAGTTCGCCTAACGAAAGATAGAATGACCTAGCGAATATACACCCATTCGCAAACTAATTTGGTTTTGCTAGAGACTCACCTGGAACCCGGCTGAATTGCTCGTTTATGATGTTTCCAGGCGAATGAATGTGCCACACCAGGCCGTCTCATGTTTCAGTCGCTACGATATTCGAGATATCGCGATGCATGTATATATCTGTAATGCACTACTGATAAGGTTGCTGAAAATCCGTCGACAGCCCATGACCGGTTTTGCCCTTTTTGGGGCTCATCAGGTAGGCGCAGTCCCCGGACTCACGTCGACCTTACGTTCTGCTTGAAACCAAATTGCGTGAAATTAGCGAATATACACTCATTTGTAAACTAATTTGGTTTTGCGAGAGACTCACCAACTGAATCTCTCGTTTGTGATGTGACCAGGCTTAAGTGAGTACACCAAACTGCGTGACGTGACTCCCCTAATTATAATGATTTTTCCACAGAGCTTTGGAATTCCATCACACTTCCAATGGTCAACCATCTCATTCAACTTACTGTGCCTCCATAGCACATGCCCTAGTTTAGAAACCTGACGCATTTATCATAACTATGTATAGACTGCTGTGAATGATACAATCACCAGAGAAAGCCTTGAAAAATGTTGTCCACGGCAAATAAAACGCTAGCTTGAAACATCTTATTCCACTGCGTTGTGTTTTGAAGTTAAACTTTCCGTATATCAAAAGCGTTTGACTTTTCGTATATGACAGCCGTTGGACTCCCTTGAGCAAACCAGTAAGCATACTCTGGGCGTTCCATGTGCTACTTTTTCTCGGTCAGACCGTTGTTTCGCTTTCCGCAATTCGGTAATCCTTGCTACTGCTATTTTTCTTTCGCTTTTCAACAGTTGGTTTGCTAGGAGTAGTTGAAACTTTGATGGAACCCAAAATTTCCTTTCACCGTACTTAGGAATGTGTCGTGGTAAAGCCCGTCACGTCCCGTTCAGTAAGTCAAACCGTCACGGTTTACGAGCAGATGGTTTCTGATTCGTTACACATGTCCTTGTTCTTGAGCCAATGAGCGGTTTGTTTACCCATGTTGCTAGGTTATGTTCGCGTTTCGGACCAGTACGATCGGTTAAGCCACCTGGAGAATGCCTCTTCTTATTCTCGCTCACAAACTGAGCCTAGTGGATAACGGTAACAACTCTCAACCCCCTCTTGGCGCCGTTTACTCAAGTTATTCACCCCCCAAATTTAACCTAAAAGGATTTAGCTGGATGTCTGAATAGTTCCAACCGATTGTGTAGTGGAATACCGAACGCCGGTGAAAAAACTGACTATGGCAACAGTAAGTTATAGAACCTGACTGTTTACTTTTTCTCCGTCACTGACTAACTCAAAAAGGCCACCTATATGCACATACAGACATGAGTTTCACCCTTGGCTGATTCTCATCTGCTAGCCTCATCTGGTTTAAACAGCTGATTGTTTCAGATTTGAAAGACACTTGTGCACCGGTCCTATTCCGCGATGCACAACATTTCTCTATGGGTTTCGTGATTTGACCCACATTGCCCGTTTCCAGCTTGTCCAATCGATTACCCTGATGGTGGCTGCCATGGTTACTAGTTTTCGTATGTAAATCTGCTCTCGTGCAGGTCACGGCGCTTTCCAGTATTTCACGTGGAGTGGTCAGAGTCTAACGAGCAGATGCTTACAACCAGTTCGAACTGGCTCTGCTTACCGACACCACACAGTAATCAACTTCTAACTCTTGATAAATAGCGGTTTTACTGATTGTGCTTACACATTTTGTCACTCTGGTACAAAATACAGTAAGTATTGTTTCCTCGGCCGCCGTTATCTTCGATCAGGTGCCAGGACTAACCTGATTTCATGGTCCTCTAGATTTTGGTCGAGCACCAATGTTCTCATCGATCATGAAGACGGTATGGGATGGATGGATGGGATCTGCGGGTAATTCTAACCCACAAGCAAAGTCAGCTGATAGAAACTTCGGATTGTAACCTGTCTGCGTTGAAACCTGTCAGCCATATTGAGATGTAAAGTAACTCAGTCCTCTAACTGTTACTCGGTAACGCTTATCTACGGACCATGCTCGTACAAGGATCATATCTTTTGGTTGGTCCCTTCGAAGTCCTGTTTTGACCATGAGATAATAAGTGCCCAGCTTTGTGATAGCAAGAGCTCACTTAACTTCGGGAAGAAGGGGGGTCTGAGAAAACTTTCAACCTTCATCTCCCTAGAGTGACTCATCACAAGTTGTTTAATTCCTCCTGTCGTTGGTTGGCGCAGGCTATGTAGCTGGAATAACTAAGCAAATTCGCTAACTACTTTTTTATTTTATCTAACTGGTCTTCAACTGCAACAATGAGAATGGTCCGGCTCTTCCCATGGACAATTTTTCAGTTCATCCTACATGACATTCTGTAGTGTAAATAAGCGGTTGGATGAGGTGCTACGAAGCAGACCGTTAGAGCAATCCTGCCATAATGTGTTTTGTCCCTCAAGCATAAACTGTGGAGGGTGAAGCCTTTGAACCTTTATAACACCGCTTCCTCACATTTTGACGAGTTGGTTTTACCTATAGGTTTGGGAAGGAGGTACTTGATGTGCCCGACAGTAGCAAAAGTTTTCCTTTTCTCCACCTGAGTGGTATCTACGCTCTTTTGGGAATCAACACGTAGCCTCCTATTCGCTCGTGATAAAAGGTAGACAGATGGGGAAAATGCTGACTGTTTATTTACTTATATGCAATGGACTTAGAGCTGGATCAGATGCACCTTGCCGATACGATTTCTCCTTCTATGCACTATCACGCGCTGGCTGATTTCTCTTCCACATCGACACAAATGTCAGAGTGCTCATACTTGTGCCCAAAACTTTCTCGCTGTTTCAAGACACCTGCGTTCTTCCAAGGCTCAACAGGTTTACTCCTGCTATTTTCCTTCTTGTTTAGTCCGAAAACCTGCATCGCAGGGCAGTGTAGAGACTTCATGGGAGTGTATTAAATGAAAAGGCAAAAGCGGCTAGGTTTCCACAACAACAGCAGTTACGGTAACATCTCTGTTCTGCTTGAACTGCTCTACTAGCCACTGAGAATTCACACCATGCGATTATACCGCTTTTGTATTATGATGATCATATACCAATAGTGTAGCACAAACCCAACATCAGCTGGGCTCCAGTGACGATCGCCATTTACCAGGTATTGCCTTGAGTGGCGTTTTGTATTCATTATCCGATGCTACGAGGTGTTCGTTCACAAGAAAAGTGTAAAATGGAGCGCCATTTCATTAACTTCCGAGGAGCCGGAAGCTCTTTTGTGTCTTCATTTGAGAACTTGGCATAGATTGAGGTTAACAGTAAAAAACCTCAGCGACAATGCTTTGCACTGCGTCCCAAAGCCTTTCAGGAAATGGATTTTCGAAGGATTTCCGTGAACTAATAGAAGATGTGTTGAAGAATCGGCGTTTTCGCTAATTATTTCTCCGGTCAATACAGTTGGAGGGTAATAAAATTCAGGATTTCAATTCAAAATCCGATGGGTTATCAGTTTCTACGTGACGACCTGGTAAGAAATCAACAACAAGATCATGTGTACTCATTAGACGCCACATGTTGTTCTGTGAAGAGATGTGAACTGTCGGTTCAGGGTCATGTCGAGTATGCTGTGTGCATGTCCCCCTTTTTGACACAGAGGAGAGGGTTTCTTTATCTGATAGCAACTTACTGTCCTGTAGCTAGTGGACACATGTACCTCATGTTTGGTTTTGACCAAATTAGCTGTGGAAGCATTTGAAGCGCTATTTGAGCGATGTTTTCCAAGCCAGATCGGATGGTGCTTCCGAACCCCTTCTGTCAAGTATCCAGGTATTCAACGCAAATGCCCTGAAGCACAGCTGCAGGTAAAGGATCATACAAGCACAGATTGGTCTCGCATAGGGTTCTTTTGTTCTTCCAAAATGAGGTTTACCAGGCTTTTTTTTACATAAAAACTGTTTTTCAGTGGCAGGTAGGGAAGTTCACTGAACCGAGATTTTCAGAACACAAAGAGCCTTTGGTGGTTATGTTGGTCCGTTGGTCATGTATTTCCTGATGAAACTCTTCGAGTACAGACTCATTTGGCGCGCTGATAATCAACCATATTTCACTTCCTACAGCGTCATAAGAATACATTATCCTGGCTCCCTTACCCATGTTGGTTTTCAGTACACCTACCTCTGTCATGAGCCATCCGACCGTTAAGAAATCTTAAACTTCTTTTCTAATCTTAGTGTGCAACACTCATCGAAGATCAAGCCCTGTCGAATTGTGCAGGAGTGACGAACTTGTGACACCATAAAAATATATGATTAACATAATGTCAATAAAAGCTGCACCCGCCAGCTGACTGTTAAAGTTGATGACATTCCAATTTCCTCTTAAGGGTGTTGATGAGCAAAGGATCAGACAGCGTACTCATTGCTACCTAACCTTCCCAAAGGTGGAGATTTTCAATACATGTGAACTGCATACTGAAAGTACAACACAAGAGGTGGGTAAAGACAGCTGTAGACGGCAACTCTCCACATAACCACACAAGTGATCGATGTTTTAGGAGGAGAACATTAGCGAACGAAAAGAAGAGTACGAATGATAGTTTTACACAGTCTGGTCGCGAACTGAGTCCACCTATTTGAAAGTGCCTATTTGAAATGCGGGTTGATTCAGCAACCAATTGGCAGGACGAGATGGCGAGCCTGGCCTGGAAGATGCCGGAAAAAATGTGTTTCCAGTGCAATCAGGGCAAACTGGTCGAAAACAAACACGAAGTGGACGCGAATTCCGATTTAATATTCATCTACAAGGTCATGGTGAATCTGTGAGAGGGAGTTGAAGAAGAAGAGTTGACCCAATCAACTGCGCACTGATGATGTCTCCTCGTATGGTGACGAAACGTTTGCAAACCAATTGTCAAGCTCGAGGAACAGATCAACAGCCACCTGATCAACAACCAGTAGTTGAAGAACATTTATTAGCTACAGCAAAATAGGTTGCCATCAGGTCTAGAAACCCCGTCCTCCACATCCGAAAGTGGGACGTGCACGCATCACACTTGACATGGTTCCAACCGGGAGTCTAGATCTCTTCACAGAGTAACAACACAACAACCCAACTGATTTTAAATTTGAAGTTTGTATTTTATGAACTTCTCAGCGTACTGATCGGTGGATGAATTACCCAAAGTGTTCGTTTCACAAAACGTCCTTAAAAATTTCCTCCATGCCTTTGGTCATCCTGTGTTTTCGGTTAATGCCCACGAAGTACCATGTAGGTTGGAATCCTAATGTTACTCTGACTTATGATTGGTCAGGACCATCGCAAAGGTGTCTTTAAACACCAGTCGTACACATGCAGTTCCAAGTGTCCGTTGATAGCTTCTTAGGTCCTTGCGTTGACCTAGTGTTTGACAGTTTGAAAAAGGGGGAGTGTTGGCACGATCTTTGCTTGCTGCCTGTCTGCGATTACTGTCTGGAAACCCTGTCTTTCACTTCAAATAACCTCTTATAGGTTGCAAAGCTCACTATTTCTGCACTAGACATGTGTTTAAATAGAGATTATCGAGCACAGCGAGGTTGATTTATACAAATTTATTCACACATTTGTTCATGTAGGTTCGTTTTTTAAAAAAAATTACTTCTGTCTAAAAACAGTTTGTCAAGTACTCTCTGAGAAAGATTAGTCAAATATGACAGTAACACTGTAACACTTTCTGCGCCTAGCTACCGTGTTACCGAACGAAGCACGACGGCTTAGGTACTGCCACGATATCCAGACAAGACCAGTCGCGATACCGGCCAGAAAGTTGATTCCTTAATCATTCAGATATTTCCAGCTTTGAATCGGATACACCCAACGGCAATTATACTCACCAGTGCCTGTTGGCACGTTTGTAGGTGAGACTAGTACTGGGTGCTGTCCCTCACGGAAGCTCCCCATAGCCGACCGATTAAGTCAACCCACTTCATCGATGTAGCCATCGCTACCATTTATCTGACAGAACCCTGTCTTCACCTGTCTCAGTCTAGCCTGGCGGGTCACCAGAACTCATCTACCGCCGCTATACTCTGTGTTAAAGTTGATAGAAACCAGAGGGCACCTGAAAATTTTCAGAACAACTGACTCCGATTTACGGAGCATCGTGTTCGGTGTAGGTGAGCAGATACAACACCAAAGTTCACCATTTCTGCAGTAACAAAATGCTGCATGTCACAAATGTGGCTTAGGTGGTGAATTACTTATCATGTCACCTGACTCTACACAAGAAGCTAGAAAGATCATATTTACCTACGTGAAGTTGTGTAGTAAAAGCGGTCGACTGACCATGTCCTCATTGGTATACTTATGGCTTCTCGCCATCTTATGCTTCTTCATTATATGATGGCCTTTCCCAGCGGGTTAACTGCACTCTAGTTTTGGTAACTTTCTTTGACTGCATACGGTACCCCATGAGTTTTGGAAGGTTTTGAATACTGTCAGATGATTAAAAACTTGGACACTGATTATAAAGCCAGTAGAAGGGTTAAATTCAGTACATTTCCGCACCTTTAATGTAACCTTTGGCATCTGGCTGTGTTTGATGGCTTTAAAGCTAACTAACAGTTCCAGATACTAAGGAATTTGATTTACTCATGAGTTTTTAGGAAACTCTGAGCACAGAGTAATGGTTTTGTCGCTTTTCAGTTGATCTGTATGTTGAGATGCCTTAACTGATCAACGACCTTATCCAAAACCGCGAGCTTCGTATGAACACTATATATTATTTACCAATACTTGTCGATTGTTTGAGAATGAAACACATACCAGGTGAATACAAGGCCCCTACCCTAGAAGCAGAGCAGAAGAAGTGGAACAGAAATACTACCACGGACCGCAGCAAGGATTCCACTAAAGGAGACAAGAAGACAGAAGTAGGTGAAGACCTGTCGCATCGGGCTGGATCGTTGGAGAAGTGTCATTAAGACTTAATACGTTGCTCACAAGGTTGCTGAAAACTTGTCGAAAACCACGCACGACTGGTTCCATCCTCCTTCGGGATTATCAGCTAGGCGCAGGCCGCGAGTTTCTCTCAAACTTATGTTCTTCTGGAACCCCAATTGGACAGGTTTCAACAAATATGCTCATCATAAGCGAGTGATTCATCCGGTTTCCAGGCGAGTCTCCCATCAAAACCAAATCGGTATGCAAATAAGCATATAAGTCGAAAGTGTCATCAATCTTTCTGAGGTCGCTTAGACAGTAGTGTTCGAGATTGTGGGTTGTTGAGTCAGAGGATGATCATCAATGACTGAAGTTCAAGTGAATCAGGAAATACACATCGAGGATTACAAACGAATAGGCAACTTTTCTGGTCTTTACCCGAAAAATATGGGATATATACGATGGAACCTCCTGTGATGCCGACCAGAATGTCCATTATAAGGATAATACTCTATTTCTCGAAGGCGAGTTCACTATCAGTCCCATCAGTAATGATGCAATACCGTCTTCCAACTAATCTGATTGATCCCACTCCGAGCATCCACAGGAACTACAATGGACGAAGATTCTAACTCTTGTACACTAAGTTCAGAAAAGCATTTGTTCGATCAGTCGAAAAAATCGACCACCCAAGACCTCCTGTCATGTGATTTTTTGTGTTTGTCTAGAGTACATCACTACATAACAGCAACATGCAACCAAACACAATGCCCTGCAAGCTCATAGCGTTTACCAACAGATTAAAGGTCATTTTATTCATGTCCGATTTCAGTCTTTGCTAAGCAAAACTGAATCTTGTGCAAATGGCAGAGGTATACTCAAGTGTACACACAGCGTAGGATCTGAGTACAGAATGCTTGTCGCAGTCACTTACAAGTTAGTTAAATTTGTGTATATCTGTAAGCAGTTCGCGTCCTAAGTAGCTCGGTGTAATTAGGGTCCATGGTGTACGCACCGTGAAAAGCTTATGCCGGCACAATCTGGATAGCTCAATGTAAATTGACTTATTCACACAAGCAAAAATGGGCATGATCCCGTTCGCTAAGAGACAACTTGCGCATAGATAAACATTCTGCTTTTGAACCGGTAGCAGCTAGAATGACAGCCATCGGTAATGCATGTCTCTTAGTGACTCAAGCACCAATAAGGTTAACAGACCCTTGTTTTGAACTTAGGAGTGTATAAGTTGTATGTACCTCATGTACTGAACAAGCAACCTATCCGTTTTAAGCCATTATGGACCAAATGTGATCACGTTACCTCTGACTGACTACGAGGGCAAACAGTAGGACCGGTCAGTTTTTATCAGTCATCTAGACTACACGGAGACCGGGATATTGTGGATGATTCCGTGAAGTAGCTTCCATCAGGTACTGAAGGAAAGCAACATATCACACTACGGCTTCCTGGAAATTTCGCACTTCCGAACTGACCATTCCAGGCTGACTCATCACGCAGTGAGGTAGATTACTGGCAGGACTTTCTCTGAATATGTTGAACTTGAAAAAGCGGCCCTTCTGTTTGTGGTTTCACATTTGCCTAATGACGTTTAGGGAGAGGAAGTTAACACTCATTTTCAACCTGGTGTAAAGCATTAATAGGAGTATTATTCAACAGCCACCGCGTTCACGGTTCTCTCCTCGCTTGTTTCTGTGATGCATAGACATGTTTGTGGAAATCTTCAAGCACACGTTTGTGTCTTTCGCTTTTGGAATTGCGTCACTTGGTTATGGTCGTTCCGCAGAAAGTCGTATTAGCCATCGGACACATGGTTTGCTCAGCACCACATTATTTGAGGTGGGTTGAGGTTAAGGCCCGTAAAACAAAGCTTGACTTAAAGCGCAGACAAAATGATTACAAGTACCAAATAGATATCAACGTCATGAGGCATTTGATGAATGGAGTTTAATATAACTACGCTTTGATTCGGGACTTTTTGCGCGGATAGTACCTATGGTGACTCAATTCACCGGGTGAGGATACAAAAATAGGTAGCGTTCACAAAGCGGATGGTAGTCAAGTGGTTCACTGTTGAAGAAAAATAGAACGCACTAATAAGGCAAATGTTCGGTTCAGTGAGTTTCCATGGAGAAATTCGAAATGACGAGTAGGAACAAGAAAACGACAAGTGGGACGACACACTATTCCGGACCGCAGTGACAACCACACACACGCTTAATTCAAACACAGGTTTTATACACCCATTAAGCGGTGTGAACTTGGGGAAATGATTTATTTGAACCTGAAAAATTATGTTACAGACTGTTTGAAACAAGCAAAAGCTCTGAAAATTCGAAAGGGGGCCTAAAAAGTAGTTTTGTTTCGAGTGAAGTGCTTTTTGATGAGTATGTATAAAGATGTCCCACGCTGTTCCATTGTAACTAGCTGGATGGTTGCCACGTTCAATCCACAATGGTAAATGCTTACGAAGAACCATTGGAGCAAAGTAAAAACGTGTCACTAGGATGGTAACCACAAACGGATCATTGTTCATTGACCTGGGACTAAAATTAGCACAAAGAGCTAACCAGGGTTGTTGTGCTACCAGTTAAAGCCCGCAAACCTGAGATGCCATGTTGCAAACAAAGACGATCTCAACTGACTGCTTTCTGGAGGATTTTCTGATTTCTTTCTGTGTAATGGCTGGTTGCTGCGCCACTTGTTTCTATAGTGTACAGCATACCGTGTTTCCCCACAGAATATGGCCATCTCCCTGTCTAGAAGATAGCAAATATACTAAACCAATCTGTTTAGCTTGTATCCGGGATGGTTAAACGGTGGAGTTTGAAGATAGAAGATTACGTGGTCTACTGTAGGTGATGTCTTTTCGTTTTATCTGTTTGACTCTTATGCAATGGTTAACTCCCTAGTACAACAAAATCGTGCATTTCAAGACAATAAATTGATTGTTCACTCTTAGAAAACGCTAAAAATTGTTTGTTTCCTTAAACAAATAAGCCAATGTTTCATATCGAGACTGAAAATTGCGAGCAACGAGAACTGAGAATCTCATGGTTTTGGAGACGCCTGGGAGCGAAGAACATAAAGTCCCAGAGATCAGTGATCTTTTGGTTATTTAATGAATATGGTGAAATGAGGGGTGATATTTTAGGTAAGCTGTTTATCTGTTGGCAGCTAACCTGTTTGCCGAGCTTACCGCTTGATCAGCAGCCGGTTAACGTACAAGTACTGTCAGTATTTCGGCAGGTATATTCTACAATGACAAACCTCGGACTTCTTACTATTTTCAAGCTTCCGTAAAGCCATAATCCTGATGAACGCTTCCTCTAACTGCAATAATAATAGTGCAAATTGGTTTCCAGGTAAGTTTGAAAAAGACGGAGAAACTATCAACCCACCCAAACGGCTCTCTGTCGTTATTTGGTCCGACCTATACGACTGGTGGAAATCTGTCGGTTAGCAGTTTCGCATGTGATCATTGCGAGTTGCCAAAGGCAGTTAGTTTCACTACATAAGTAAAGATGACCTGCACTGAATGCAAGAATATCTACTTCCCGTTAGGATAGAAAGGGAAAACCGTTGTATAGACTTTTATGGTGGAGGCCGCAGAGAGTCCAAGGGAAATATGCAGAACATTAATAAGAGACAGTCCTTCCTGACCGTAATCAGTGAAAAGATGGACTTATTTTTTTATCTTGATATGGTTCTGAGTAATATGCTTTTTGAAATTGCCGACAAGCAGTTTTCGTTCACAGATATTCTAATTTTATCTCACTTAAGTGCAAGCCCACAGTGGATGAGTGCAAACTATATGGTGGCTAACCTTACTTTTAAAGTAAATTCAGTAGGCCTGTGATATAGACAGGCAACAAGAAATTAACCGTGACCAGATGTCTACCCTGATTTTGGGCATCGTTTTGGAAGATGCTAGAGAAAATCACTCGTTTTCGACAGTTTATCACTTACACCTAATTAGAAGACGATTATAAAGCAAGAGTCTAAAACGAACGGTTAAGTATTTGACCACTGGCCAGAAGATTGTGAGTTCTAAGCCCTTGAGTTTTGCGAGATGGAAACTGCTGATGGTTCTAAATAAGGTTGAAATTACTGTGCAGTACCCCTCAGATTTTCAAAATAGATTGGCTTCACTTTCTCTATTATAAATCACCAATTCACTTCTTCGCTCCAGTCAGTACTGGATCACGTGATGTGGTTCTCAAGATTGAGAGATGAACATTACATTATCCTGTCTAAATAAGAGCTACCTGCATCGCTGACTAGCCCCTCGAGGGCGGACGGTATTCGGGACACTGGCCAGGAGATTGCTCTAGTTTCTTGAGATGCACATTGCTGATAATTCCGGATAAAAGAGAAACAGCTGCATTGCACCTCTCAGCTTTTGGCATGGAGTAGCTTCCATGAGAGGACAAAATATCAGTTGAATTTTCCAAAAGTCTTTTCAGATGATGCACTTGTCATCCAATGCCTCATCTTGATTTGTGCTCCTTTATTCTTTAGCAGCAGCCCAAGCCATTTGATTTCCAACGATTACATAAAAGCTGGGGATGGAAAAATTCAACGTAACCCTATTACTATAATTTTAAGAATATATCAACTTGTTTTAAATAAAACACACAAAAGGTATTGAATATAGAAATCGAATAGTGTCGCAAAACTCCATCATTTGATATTTTGGCTGTGCTTACCCATGACCCATTCTTCTCATAGATAAGCTGTTTTTCAAATATAAAGCATTGTTTGCTTTCACTGCGTGAAAACAGCAGGTAGCTTTTATCATTCTGCAACAAATGCACCTTGTTTCCTTCCGATTCATCGAGGCCTTGAGGGGCCATGTATTCCCAACAGTTCTACAAACGATTCGACAAAATGATAATGTCGCAAATGTCCTGAAGTTTGAGATGACCACGTAATTTATGGTTTAAGAATATGAGAGGTTCGGCTAGGTTATAGTTGAGACTCACGTCAAAACCAAGTTGGTGGGTGTTTATGTTAAATACAATATCTTCTGGGTTGGAACTTGTCGAACTGCATTTTGGATGTTAACAGTTCAAGGCAGCGCAGCAGGTGATTAAAAATCATGTAAGCTGTGAAAGGTCCATCGGCAATCGACTGTTTGTTTAGAACGCTCTCAGGTGGTCTCCGAGACGTGAGCATGAATCATGTGTCTACTCAGAAAGTTGCTGCGGACATTTACCGTTGCTTCAAGCATATAACACGAACTGGATTTCATTCAAATCCGAAAACAGTCAGGTGTATCGTTAACTTAAATGGAGCTACACTTTATAAAAAAATCTTATGTAGTAACGATTAGGGTGAGACCTAAAGGCTAACTGAACAAAATAAGATGTTCCTACAGTAGTTGAGTAAGCGCTTTAAGGCGCGGTTTTTTCACTAAACAAAATTATCCTCCTTTGATAGAGACCCACTGAGAGGGCTGAAACACCGATTTATTTGACTTCTGTTTCATTCGAACCACACACTTCATCCACTATGTTGGTCACACCTTGATGCGCTCATCTACCTGCTAAGGGGATATGGGAATCTTTCAATGGAGATTTCGCTCTTTAAGTAAAAAATTAGTCTAAGCCTGAAGGCTGAGAAGCACCGGACAGTTGTTTTATCCCAGGTGAGAATTTTCAATAATCCGAACCTCACGTACCTCCGGGAAATTCAAACATGCAATTTGCTCAATAGTAGATGAAGCCTTTCGATTACAAGTTGCTGATTCCCACTGTGATTAACTCACAACTAGGCAGGATACAGTGCCACAAACCCTTCAAGCTAAAGAATCCACATCATGCGGTCACGAGTTTACTGCTTCTTATATAAACTTCCAATGCCTTCGGACCATGAGGTGAATGATTCCTGTCGCCATTATTTGCACTATGAATGCCACTTAAATATGCTGGTTCATGATGACGGAGTGAAGCTCACGGTACTGTTGACTGCCAGCCCAACGGTTTGTTTATTGTCATCAAAGGAGAGGAGCCAGTGACGTAGTTCTTGGTATAGGATAGCGTTCAGCAAAAGGATACTTTCGACCAGGGTGGTCAGTCTGTTTTGTCCCCGAAAGTAATTATTTGATGAGACAGTTTGCCTCTTGTAAAACAAGGGTGTGGGATGGAGCTACTTTTCTGTCTTCCAAGAGGTACATTCACTGTTGAAGCACTCTGTTCAGGAGTATGACCGTGATCCAATAAACAACACTGAGTGTCAGATGATATTTAAAGAAGCGATTTCCTACCATTTGCTCTTTATCAAGAGATGGTATCTGTCTCTGACTGGCCACTCATTAACTTATCAAAGAATTTTCTCGGAGATCACGCGCTTCCAAGGCGATTCTCCAACGACTGACTGCAGACATACTTTAAGCTTATCAGAGAATAGCAGGAATATATATTGACCAATCAGGTTCCAAGCAGTAGTCCTGGAACTCCATATACAGTGATACCGATCATAATGATCAAGACAATAGAAAAAAAGTGGCAAACAGTCCATGAGTTTACAAATTACCACTTGATAGATGCTAGGTCTCACATGTTGTCTGTCCGACCGGGTTTCAATTTGTGCTGCATTTGTGCTGCCTGGTTGGTTCTCTCAAAACTGTTTAAGAAAAATTACAAGTGCCCGTAACTACCATCTTTCTCCATGACTCTCCTGACAATGCAGCCAGAGGAAGAGAAAGAAAATAGGACTTTAATCACAACTGATACATTTGGCACCGTTGCTAAGGTGATAACGGTGGTAATTTTCAGGAAACAAGTATTGCATATTATTTTGAGAGCGACCTTGGTTCGGATGCAGTTATCTGGCTACCTGAGTGCACGTCTGTACAGAGCGTTTCCAAATCGTGAAAGGTTCCTGTATGTTTTTAGTTAAGATGCATAGTATCACGCTACACTACGAATTAAGATGATGGAAAGGAAAGTTAATAAAAAACAGCTTTGTCTTTATCGGGCTAATGACCACTTTCGTCGTCTTGCTCAAAAGCAGTAATGTCTTACGAGTGAACTGACCCCAATATACATTTTCACAGTTATCCGCTTTTCAGAACTATCCGCAATTTTAGTCCAGCTGTGCTGTTCCTCCATATAATACAGGAAAATCTCAGCTACATTTGCTGAAATGTTCCCTTAACACTGGTATGGTATAAGCGTACCCTAACTGATACCATTACACCATTTCCTTGCCGTAAGTGATTTCCCTCTCAGAAAGGCTTTTGACCGTTCAAATTATTTACATAATAAATACAGTAATCTTTTCTAGGAAAGCTTAGCCACAAGTATAAACAATCGTTCGGCTGTAACACCCTTTTTGTGCCTAGCTGCCATGCTGCCCGAAGGAGATACCGGGATTGATTTATTGCCAGGTTCCCAAAGTCTAGACTGGAGCAGCAGAGATGCTGGGGCTAGGTTCAATCCCCGGACCTCTCGGTCAGTAACTCGCGCCTTAACCGTTCACCTCTTTCGAGACCACCAGCCACAAGAGCGTATTCGGAATAATCAGGTGGCCTGGATGGATCGGACACATTACCCTTTGGCCGTATGATTCACATTGTTGTCCTATGGATCATCCTGCTTGCGGTCAGGTTGCAGAGGGTTCAGACAATTTCGCGGATGAATCAACAGCAGTTCTGAACAAAAGTTCATGCCCAATACTGCATCCGTTCTGTATAAGGAACCTACATCTATAAGTCGCCTCTGAGGGATCAAATCAACAATTCCTTTCCATGTAGCAAGAATGAAACAGAAGCAAATTCAATACACGATAGTTTGACAAATCATCTGTGACAGTGTTCTAAATTCGACTCATACACCAAGGCAACAGGCTGAGTTCTTCTCATCTTAAACAAACCAAGACATGAGTAGTAACCTTTTAATATACGGGCAACTATTAGGGTCTTTTTGCTGTGACCTTCCGGCTATCTTACTGTGACGAATTGTTGTTTTCCCTGAAATAACAAGATTTCACGCCTCATCTGATCAGAAAAGCGATCGACTGAGCGACCGACTCAGCATACACACTGTGCTGGTGCTCAGGCAACAATGATGTCAAGACGATAATGTCGTACAAGAGAAAAACATTAAAAGCGAAACAAAGACCGAAGTGGCCAGAAGCCCACCGATATAAAAGGTTTTGTTGGAGTAAATGCTCCACGAATGGCTTGTTCAAATTCAAATATACGGATTGTTAGAGAATTACGGAATAGAAAGGCTAATCGCTGAGAGGAGAAAATGCTTTGCTCAGACTGAACAAGCAAACGCAGCTAACTCGACTGTTCCTGGGGAAGGCGAAAGGTGTACTGGTCAATGGAACAGATTCATTCTTCGTAACGCACACTGTGACCGAGTAGTACATTGACTTACATTTTGTTTTTTCCAAAGGACAGCGCTGTTTCCCGTGAGATAATCTACTGCGTATCGTAAAACGCCGATGATTGATTTTGTACACAGGTGGCAACGAGGGGTCATCATTATCCATCATAAAGCAACTAAAATTTGAAGCAAATCGGCTCTGTTGTCGGGTTCATGTTAATTCCCATACTGGCTGAAAAATGAAGTTATCTTAATCCTGAATGATTCCAACATTGTTTTTGTAAGATATTTCAAAGGAGCAAGTCGTCTGAGTACTTCCTAGTTTTCCTAGAAGAAAGAGCATCTGAGTCTTTCAAATCAAGCAATGGGGATGAGGCCTACTTCATTTTAAATAAATAACTTCGCATAAGTAGATGGAGAAAATAAACGCAGTAAATTTATCCTGTGAGAGCTGACGCGACTTGACGTGACCTGACGAGGTGTAAAGTAGTTTTTACTATCACTATGCAACTCGAAAACCGGATGGTTACGCGAAAAGTAGTTCATGCCACACAGGACATTAAAATGGGTCACTAAAACGTCACTAATTAGACAGATTATCGGAAGGATAAGGTTAACACATTCAATCCGTTCTGTCAACTGAAGGAGCCAAAGCTAATCTGAAAAGCTCTCGATCTGGAATCTCGATACTTTCTGTTCTCGTTTTGTTCTTCACTGGTTCAGCTGTTTCTAACACATAAGGAAGCATTATCGCCTTTTGCTACTGTTCAATGCTTGAAACAGAATAACGGCCCTGTCACTTCTTTGGCGGGAGAAATGTACTGCTGATCCACCTAGCTAATTGTCGTACAAATAGGGATTCAAGTAGAGCATAAGGTTGATGAAAACTCGGGGACTGCGCTTACCTGATGAGCCCCAAGAAGGGCGAAATCGGTCGTGGCGAAGAGAAGATTTTTCAGCAACCTTGTGAGTAGTTTCCTTTGTGAAAAATTAGGACATTGTTTACTGATAGAATAGACCGAAAATGTGCAGTTGGATCTGTACACATGGTTTGTTGTTTGGTGCGGAGATGTCCGTAGAAATTTCAGTGGGCCTCGCTGAGTATTGTACAGTATGGAACTCTCTTTGTCACTACTGAGTTATCGATTAATCCTTGCAAAGATTAATGCTATAGCTGTTGTATTTCTCGTGCCTATTGTAAAAAGTAGTAACTTAACTGACATAAGCATAATTAAGGTTGGCATGAATTTACCCACCAGGATATTTTCGACCCACAATGATTTCTGGTTCAAAATTTTGTGTTTTGATTGTTCCCCTGAGTTATACTAATACAGGGGTTTATTACAATCCCTAACAAGTTGTGACTGCTATCTTACGTTATCAGATGAAACAATCCTAGTTGTTATACACAGTCAGTCAGACGTTTCGATAACATTCAAGGTTGATGCTTTTGACCGCATTTCTGGTACTTTGTGTTTCCTAGCTTCCTAGTAGGTTTATATACTTTCAGTTCCCCCAACGACATGTCTGTAATACTGATTCCATTAACTTGCGTTCTAATTCTTCTGCACAGTACAAACCACGGACTATCAACCGTCCTCTGCAACCCAATGACTATTTTCCTAAGGAGAACATGCACTGCCAGCAAGCTTATCCCGTGTCTCAGGATGTCTTACCGCAGTACGGAATCCTCAAAGATGAAGATGTGGACAAGGAACTCGGTCCTCAATCCGACTGCTGTCTAGCCTCATCTGATCCTCTATTATACGGACCTGGAAAAGTTGACTGTATCGTGGCTACAGTGTTCCTCGTCACCTTTATTCTATGCATACTGGTGGGAACATTGTTAACATTATTTCACTACGTTGCTGGAATTGAGTTCAACACGATTAACCGAGGTCGTGTTGTCGGCCCTGTGCTGATTGGTCTTAGCCCTATTCCGGTTCTTTTTCTCATTTTCTTTGCCTGTCGAGCCCAGGAAAAGATTTCACTTCAGGTAGAACGAATGAAAGCCACTCAATCGGCTCGCCAGCAGATTGCCTACCGACAATACCAGGTAGGTTTACTTTAAAATGATCTTCTTTTCGCTCTTGTTTCTGTGGTTAAGACTCCACCCCTGGTGAAGTTAAGTGTGCTTCATAAAATCCAACAACAGCAGTGGACAAGTTTTTTCGCCATACTATTTAGGGCATTGTAAATAGTTTAGTTTTTTCATTGCTTGTTGTCCGATTTTGGTGTGACGATTTCGGAAAATCCTACTTGGTCTTATAATACTCTACATTTCTAATCATGTAAGCACATTTATTAATACGTTGGAAAACCATCCAATGTCCATAAATATACTAGAGTTAAGCAAAGCTTTTGAGCTGCATTCTTTTACTTTCCTGTCACAGTTACACAACAAGAACTGAAAGTAATCAACTGATGACTTTTTTCCTGGCACATCTCAACAGCAAAGTATCAGAGCAAAAGACTTGTAATGTCTTTCCGGTTTCTTTATTAAATCCGGAACTCATGGACGACATACGCAATTGGTTTCAAATTCTTGACGAAATATAAGTTGTTCTTGGTTTATCAGATGATCTCTTCCTGTAGAAGGTCGTGTATGCAACAGTTCAAAATTGAAAACTGCGGAACTTTGGGCGAATGATCCTCATGCTCTTGGGGGTATCTCTGCCTGTTTAGTCCAGCGGTTGATGAGGCTTCCGACTAAGTTATGGATAACTGCACTGCTTGGGTAGCACAGTCGTTCAGCCTCATGATGACAATGGGTTTTTCGAAATTTTGTAATTGTGGAGTTTGTACACATGCGTAATGTTGAAAAGCAAAGTTTGGCATAGGTTAGTCAAGGCCGCATTTCACCGTCACTCTGATCACTCTGGGTCACGGTAGTGAAACGAACGGAACGGATAGAACGGCACTTGAGTCGCACAAAAGACAGAAACTATCTGAGGGAAAAACCAGCTGACTCATCTAAACGATGAGTCTTATGTAGGGCGTGATGTTATGGCTCGAATATAAATCAACCAAAAAATAACATCGGTAAAGGGAGTGGAACTTGAGATTTCCTCGAGCTACAAGTGGATGTTTTGTCAAGTAGGCTGAGGTAAATGTTGACCCACATCACGTTTATATGCCTAAAGTGCATTACAGAATTTGTCATTTGTCTTACCAGCAGCAGAGTATTCCTAGGATAACAAGTGTGTGACTCCTCGACGCACCAGATATCATTCATACGGCCGTGATTGCGATCCGCACGGAACCTTTTTTCAGGAACTAAGAAGTCATGCTTCGTCAGACATGCTTTTGTCTGCACCTTCAACCGTGGAACGGACACATTTTTCCGTGAAAATCATCAGAACAGATAGCATAATAAAGGAGTTTGGTTTCTATGGCACCAATTGATAAGAAATTATCCAAAAGTCACGTGCGTCATATAACACGTGCGAACTTTCATGGGTAAAAGGGAGCTACACTGTGTGATTGCCAGCTAGACATATCTTCGGCAAAAGTGAAGTCGCAGGTAATTTTAGCTTTCTTTAAACAAAACTTTACTCATAAGGCTTCTGAAAACTCACTGACAGCCTACTACCGGTCTCGCCTACATCACGTAGCGGGCTGTCCACAACCTTCTGGCAATCAATTTCATTTTTTATTCACGTTGCTATTTTACTGGATCAGTACGTTGAATGAATGTGGGTAAACATTCGCCTACGATAAATGCAACGTCAGTGGGCTTGGACGCTGGAATGTATGTTGACTTTTGGGCAATATGCGTCAGTCAGTCAATTCAGATCCAGTGTTCTGAAGTCAAAACTTATACATCTTTGAGCCTTTCAGCTTGTTTTGGAGCCACAAGTATTTTCACCAAGGAAGGATAACTCGGTAGTGATCCACTCTTACCCCTTTTGGATTCAGTTCAGATTCGATGTGCATAAATAGGACTTTTTAACAAATCGCGTAAAACTACTGCATTTCTCATGGCGGCTTTTCACACCTACATCCGAGACAAATGGTAATCATCGCTTTTTATGAATTTACATCGTTTTCAAAGGATATTAAATACCACTTCAGGGGTGACTGGCCTACAGATGAGATTGCACGAACGTCTGTACAGCTCGGTGTAGACTAGAAGTGACTAGAAATTGGCGCATGCTCAGATGTATACTGATAGTACCTGGACTGCGTTTACTGTGGCGTATAACCATGACTCCACCAGAAACGTGCTTTCATCTTTCTTTAGATAAAACTTTTGACATATCATCGTCGTCCACTTCTAAAACCAAGTCTGGTCACATCTCTAATTTTTCTCATTAGGCGAACATGGCAAAAAGCATGACGCATGACAGTGAAACTTACTCGGCACGTCCCTCATTCCTTGCATGAAGAATGGTTCTCAAATCTGGACGTTGAATTCAGTGACCTTTTCGAAGACCGAGGACATAACCCGAGGGAGGGTTTGATTTCCTGTTTGTTTTGATTTTTTGGACTCCCACCCGGATGAAATATTTAGATTCAGTCTTTTTTGATGAATTTTGTGATCATTCTACTCCATAACCCACTTCCTTTAACTTCTAATTACGAAAATATGTGTACTTTTTGTTTGCATTTATTACAATGTGCATCAGCAAATAAACCAATGACAAACGCTCTTTTGAAGTAGCATTCACGTGAAACTAGATCCGGGGCAGCACTTTAACGAAGGGATTTAATACTTTCACTTTTCCATAGGGGAGAATTTCGGTAGCTCAGGTAGCGTAGATGGTCCCTGGCTTGTTCGCTGAGCTGGGCAATTTGGTTGCAAACGTTTCATCACCAATCGAGGTGACATCATCAGTGCGTAGTTGCGCGTAGCGGTGAGTTAGTGGTTGGCACAACCACGACCATACTTTCACTTGTCAGTTATCATCAATTACTACTTTTGATACATAGAACAGTGGAGATACACTGCTCGTTCACAATAAAGAGAAACGAATAATACGTAATCTACTTATACTATAAAGCAATCCTAAAGTAACTCTGGTCAGAATGCAACAAACTGCACCCACCGTCAGTTAATTTCTATCTTTTACTATAATCTCAGAGAGTACGTACTATGCTCGGGAAAATAAATTGTAAGTGTAATCATCCGCTGGAAAATCTTTTTGTCCGACGTCAACCACGAACGGGCATGAGGCATGACTTTTCGCTCGCGGTACCCCACTCGAGGCTGAACTGTCGACGGAACTTTTTTGCGGTCCGTGTATGTTTCATTTGAAACTCCCTACCTCCCAATGTTGTACATTCGCCGAGTTTAAACATTTACAAGAACAATTTAGATGCATATCTTATGTCCAAACCGAATATGGAACTGTTTAACTCCATGTGATACTCAGAAAGCATTACGCATATTTTTGCGTCCCTTTGTATATATACGTTCACCCTATGGTCGTTGTAAAGTTAATCGCTTTTTAGACCATTAAACCCTGAATTACCTTGAATTACCTTGAATTACTTAATTTACAGAACTAGTGTAAGCTAATGGTGCTAATGTAAACTGACCACACCAGCATGCTGAGTCCACCGGCGGATTTTGCATTCAGATGTTCGAATGCAGCATAAGATTCTCCAAATAATCTGAAGCCGGTTTCAGGTAAATTACTTGACTATCATCATCATCATCAAAATGAAATATAAGCTGTGGGTGAAACTACCTCTTTTTCAACTCACTACCTCTACAGTGTCAAAATTTCTTAGAATCATTCGAAAAAAACCTTTGAACGCGTGGCTAGGCTATAGGGAGAACAAAATCATCTACTCATGAGCTTTAGTTGATTTGAAACATACTGGTAAAGGAACGGCTTTCGAATTATTTGCATTCGTCAAAAACCCCTGAGGAAAGGGACCATCTGTAGAGTAATAGTGATACTCAAGTGTCCTGATACGGTCAGGGAATAAAACCACCCTAAGCTCTCACGTTTTACGGAGTTGGAGTGGTTGAATCCGGAACGGAAGTGAACGATAGTTTATTTCACTGAAGCGCACCAGTCGGTAAGGTGGTGGGACAGGCGGAGCCGACTTCCGATCCTACGTCACAGACGACTGCAACCAACCTGAACTAAAAGAATGTAGTTAGTAGCTGGACAAAATAGGGCGGAAGGAGGTAAGCCCAAACTATATATAGTACAGACACTCTGTGGGCATTACACGACTGTGTTTATAAAAGCCTGATGAACGGTTAGACCATACTACGAAAAAGTTCCAACTAAAAGTTGCGAGCCGATAGTGAAATTTGGAGGAGGTAAAACTATACACAGCTTGAAACGATGATGTGCAGGTAACGAAACTACAAGAGTAAATCGAAGGACACAAGTCACTATTGGCTGAAAAAAATTAGGCGAATCTTCTTGCCATCCGTATCCTTAGAGCGGATGTTGACCGAATCCTTACCACAGTGGTCAAGACACTGAGCAGTGGTGCAAGCAGATGGAAAAGCCCTCCTTTCAGAATATAAGTGGTTGGTTGGCAAAACATTTCGTGCAACACTGTTGAGGGTGACTTCAACACCCTTCTCACCTCATGCTTATCGCAAACCTAACAATATTTCGGCATGCAAGAACACTTATTACCAAGGCCAACGTGATGAAACACTTTCCGAAAGGCTAGAAGATATTCATACACTATCTCAACGGAGTTGTCCTCGAAAATCAGAACAGCGTAAGTGGCCATGTTAAGAATACGAAATTCCATATGCTGAAGGAAGTTTTGAAGAAGCAACAACAGCAACAAAAGTATATGTATTTATTTTATGAAATATTAGATAATATAAGTAGCGAATGAATGTATTTGCCGAGTACTCACTAATCAATAAGGATGTGCAAAATAGGGAAGCATACACGACTCTCTCTGTAGGAAAGACATAAACAGTTACAAGATATTCTATCGAAAGATGCGGACAGCCGAGTGTGCCGCACGTCAGGACACTGGGAAACTAAGACATCTGTGGATTTCACTACGTGACTGTAGAATGGTAGAAAAGGTTTGAATACCTGGTGTTCAGTAGTATCCCTTGAGAAT